GGCCCCCCGGCCGCGCTCCGCCCGCGGGCGGCTGCGTGTATGTGCATGGGGGTACCTCAGTGCCTCGGGGCGTGAGCAGGGTTGCTCTGGGAGGGAGGCGCGCTGCCAGCCGTGCTGGGGCAGGGGGGTGCGCTCTCAGTGCCGGCTTCGGCGTTAAAGGCCCCCCGGCCGCGCTCCGCCCGCGGGCGGCTGCGTGTATGTGCATGGGGGTACCTCAGTGCCTCGGGGCGTGAGCAGGGTTGCTCTGGGAGGGAGGCGCGCTGCCAGCCGTGCTGGGGCAGGGGGGTGCGCTCTCAGTGCCGGCTTCGGCGTTAAAGCACAGGCGAGGGGATGAGGGAGGGCTGCGCATCCCGCGCAAGCCAGGAGATAGGCAGGGCTCGCTCAGCCTGTCCTGGATGTCTGCGGGCACATGCGTGCGCCTGTGGGTTTAGTGGGAGAGGTCGAAAGTCAGACCGATTCTTTTGGTATTCGCTGTCTGTATCGGAGCTTCTTGAGTCTTTGTAGAGTAATACAGACCATGGGCGCGGGCATGCTGACCCTTAAGGTGCATTAGGCTGCTTTGTTTTTCAAGATGGAAGGATGAAGCAGAGGGGCCTAAAATGCCTTTTTGCTCAAATACTTAAAATGCTTCCCAGTCAGCTTTCTCTGTCGATAAACCAGAAGGAGGCGAAGACAACCCCAAAATGCAAATATTTCCTGTGATTTAAAGGGCAAATCCTGAATAGTAGTTGTAGGAACTGGACATCTGAACAAACCTGCCGTTGTCAACTACATGTGAGGTTTTGTGTGTATTAATTTAGCAGTTGTAAAAATGTGATTAAAGAGTTTGCTGTCGTCCTCCCCATAGTCAAAACAATCTGCTGGAATGGCCTTTAATTGCTTTTATAACGCACGGATGTTTTCAGAAGTAGAAGAGCAGTAGTCAAACAGATAGTTCTTCTCAGAAGGAAGATTTCCTACAGCATGTAAACATGAAATAAATCTTTGCTTTAAAAGAAAAAAAAAAAGTTAGCCCCAGATCAAACGTTTACTGGGCTTTTTAGAAATGTTGTTCCTTTATTCTACCACTATTCTCGGCAGGTTTGTCTGATGTGGTTGCTTTGTGGGTTGAATCACCTGCTTATTAGAGTTTTGAAAAAGGGTGGCTTTGAAAATGATACCAGCAAGACAAAATACCTCCACCTCTTTTTATGGGACTTTGTGCTTTAGGAGCTGGAAAACTAGGATGATTTACATGCAATAGAGTTTTTAATGCTTGCTCTTTGTAAAGGATTTATTTTCGTTGCAGCTTGGTAATATAAACAAGAAACCTGCCAAAGCTCAATTAAAATTCAAAACGTTTTAAATTATTGTATAGTCCAGACAGTCCGTCAGTCTGAGAGTGAAGAATGGTCCTGAATGATAAAGAGTAATCATAAATACAGCAAATAGACAAAAAGTCATAATCAAAATCAAATGCACAATTTAAAACCGCTTGCCTTAGATTTAGAATTTTTTAATTTTTAGTGGTTTTACTGCTGCAAAGCAAAATCTTGGGTATGATTCTAGAACAACTTCTTCTTGAGGCTTTGTTTACATTGTTAACAACTTCCAAAAAGCCAGTTCACACGTTCCCTTTCTTTCATGTTTTTATGTACTGAGGTCTGTGCATATCAACTGGTTAAATATGTCGGCATACCATTGCCAAATTCAGGCTTCAAGTAGTGCCTCATCTGCTGAATACTTTATATTATTAATATATGTTACATTTTTTGGGCAAATGTAATATAAATAATGCTATAAACCAAACATTAGCAAATAAGCAGCATATTTCATGCACATAAAAAGCCTGCACTGAAGACAGCAAGTTGTGTCAAGAGGTGTGGGCCCATACCCTAGATAAGATGTCTGGCAAATACTTTTTTTTTTTCCTGTGGGTAGATTCTGTTATATAAAATTCCCATCTGTACTTTGATTTCCATTCAAATGAACTAATAGTGGATGTGTTTTTTTAAGATAATGCTATAGAGAAAGTAAAGTATATTTTCAGGTAATTCAAACTTATCTTCCAATGTTTGAGTAGGCAGTTTAGCAAACAGTATATAATCATTACAGATTCCAGCTGCATAGTACTAAAGGCTTTAGCCTCAGTGCTGAAAAAAAATCCTTTCATATTCAACATTCAAAAAAATAGTCTCTTACATGGTGTAGGATTCTTGTTCCTAGGTGAGGCTTCTCAGACTGCTTTCCTATGAATGATGTATACATTTCCATATGGTATTTGAAATTTCAGAGCAACTAGGCCACATTTACTAGAATATGTACATTTTCTACTTGTTTTCAGCTGCATTTTGGATGGTATATATTGCGTGCTTACAAATTGAATTAAAGCAATCTCTCTTTTTTTTTTTGTTTTTTTTTTGTTTTTTTTTCTTCAGGCATCCTAGAGTTCATCAGTGTGGCAGTGGGACTGGTCAGTATTAGAGGCGTTGACAGTGGCCTTTACCTTGGAATGAATGAGAAAGGAGAACTCTATGGCTCTGTAAGTACCACTTTTATGTCAGCTCATCCATGTTCAGGTTTGATTCACTTCTTAGCACTATGCAGACCCCTCAAGTAGCTAGCTGAGGTCATCTTAGCTTTCAAAACACCGACATGTTTTTCCTGTTCAAATGTGTATATTTTTAATGTATATAGTATAGCCTTGGATACTAAAGATTCGATGGGAAAAGTTCCTCTGTCCTAAATTAAGAGAACTGAAAAGAAAAAACATCGAATGCAACTGGAAAAAATTTAAAAGGATAGTTATGGAACAAATAAACAACAATTAATATAGTACCCTGACTTACTTTATGTATAGCCTAATGCTCCTTTACAAATCAGCAGATGGTACTTGCAGGTACCAGCTTTTTAACATAAAAGCATTCTTTTGAATGCTGGGAAAACCAGGATAATACCATATGTCACAGTTAGATACCACTGTTATTTGAAAAATCTGAACAGTGCAAGAGTACTGGCGGTATCTGTAGATCCCGACAGGAATATTTACATTTAGGAATGAAAATAAGCTTGGGCTTATTACATTGATTTGTATCTATTGAACAACTTCAGCATTTGACCATAAAAATATGATCTTTGATATTTTTCACATACTATCAGGGTAATAACAGTCTTAGACTCTTCTCCTTTTAAGTCTTAAAACATCTTGGGATAAAATATTCTGTCTCTCCAGTTCCTTTGGTTGTGGTTAATCCTGTTTAAAATGTGAGAAGTGATGCATACCACAAAGAACACGTGGAAATATCTTCTTGATCTGTTACATTGCACCTGAGTCTCTTCGCCAAATGTCATTTCTGGAATGGTAGATACCCCAAGACAGAACTCTACATAGTATAGTTCCAGTTGGTCGGGTGAATTTTAGTTAAATCATAAATAAGTAATGCCTTCTTAGACAGAGAATTATCTAATTCATGTTGAAATCCAGAGTTGTGTATGTATAGATCCAGTTTTCAAAAGAATAGAGATTAAAGTAGGCTTCCAAACTCAGTGTCAGATCTCCATACTCTTCCTGGGTTTGATTTGTTGGCAGTTCAATGAACAGGAAGGCTGCAGAAAGCCTAAACCATTTTGTTTGTTTGTTTTTTTTCTTGTGTGTTCAGATATCTAGTGACAGCTTGACTTACTTTTTTTCACTGTTCCTTTCTGTAGGAGAAACTGACTTCTGAATGCATCTTCAGGGAACAGTTTGAGGAAAACTGGTACAACACTTACTCTTCCAATGTGTACAAACATGGAGATTCGGGGCGGCGATACTTCGTAGCACTTAACAAAGACGGTACTCCCAGAGATGGGGCAAGGTCCAAAAGACACCAGAAATTCACACATTTCTTGCCCCGGCCTGTGGATCCTGAAAGAGTTCCAGAATTGTACAAAGATGTGTTAGGATACAGCTGAGGAAGGAGGCAACTTTGGAAAAAACCCACATCGGAGCTATTGCCCCACCTTCTGTGGCAATACCAGCATG